GTGATGTCGTAAATAAACACACTCTACGAGATTTACGAAGCAATTTCAAGCAATACATCATTCTTGTTCTTACAACATAAAACATTATTCTTGTGCATTAAATGCACAATGTACCTCAAATACATTGTGCATTTAATATAGATCAATATAGCCCTTCACATATTATTTAAATGAATATTTTCGAAGATATTACCGATTTAAAATGTAGGGGCATAGCGGTTGCTGCGGTACCGGCAGGGGAGCCGGCGGCGAAGGCCGCGCTTCGCCCTATAGCAGCGATCGCACGCGTTTATATGTATATGCAGTAACAGCATTGCACCCATGCGGAGCCGGGGCTCCTCACGGTATTTCAATAAAACTTTTGGTGAATAGTTACGCACAAGCATTTTGTTGCTTTCGTGACTCAACTATTTATTATCATCTGTGTGTGTTTTCATATTGCCTTTTTATTTGTATCTCATGTGGAATAAACTTATTATTTTTATATCGACTCTTCACAAATGTATGTAGATCGTGTACAGAAGCTCGTTTCGGATACTGAAAGTAGTTGTTACGGTTTGATTTTTCCTTTAGTTTAGATCTGAAAGAAACTTCCGTGCACGATCTAGACATTTTTATGAAGAGATATATTGATGTAAGGCAATAACTTTTTCTTTCCCACTTTCTGTATTGATGGAAAAGTAGAACGACAAAAGGTTTCTCCTAAAACATCAAATACAACTCATTGTGAAACTTTCCAATGAAAATGTTCATCAAAACTATTTCTGTATAACAATTTCCCAAATCAGAAAATTATAATTTTAAAACATCTATTATTTTCCTTTACAAAAAAAGTTTTAATTGTTGATTTTACAATTTAAATCGATATGACAACGGCCTAATTACAGTCTAAATTTATCTTGGGTTGATGACCTTCGAGTCTCTAGAATATATCAACATCAGGCCTCCTGGTGACAATGTGTACAGGATGTTCATTTATGATTGTGGGCGTCTCAATTAAAGTAACATTTTTGCTGATATTTTTTGCCCAAATTGACTATTTTATTATTCTTCGTCAACTAATGATTATATTTTGTTGCGGGTATGCTAATACCAAGAAAATAAGATTTCCCATTTTGCAGTAATTGAAAACAAACCTGTTTACAATTCGCAATACGTGATTTTAAATAATATTAGCTAGTAACAGTTTGATCGATTTTTAGAATTTCTCACGAGAAACAAAGGTTCGATAAGAAAGCCAAACGAAAATAATAAAACTTTATTTTGTGAATTGGTTTTACCAGGCACGAATTCGAAGTATTTTATTGCACCGGCATATATTTCATTCGGAATGTGTTTTCCCTCTTTTGCTCAGTTATTACGAGGGTTCTTGAAATCTTTTTTTAAGAACACAGTTTGTAATAATATGTGGGTATATAACTGAATATATCTATTGATCCCACAGAAAAATTAGATAAAAAATGTGTCCAATACCATTCAGAGACGAAATTTATGCGAGTTTGAGACTACAATATCTATATAACCATTTCCAGCAAGACCTAATGGTTGAATGGTCTAACAATGGTGATTTGAAATTCAACATTGAAAATTCTTCAAAAAAAAATAAGTCAACGTGGGGAAAAATCGCTGACGGTTTTGATATTTGCCACCTAACTCTAAGTAAATTTCTTCTTTGAATATATTTTGCTACTGATTTTATATCAACCTGAATCGGAGTTAGACTCATCTAAATTTGCCTAGCCTAGCAGTTGATGAAGTTATTCAAAATTATCTCCTTGATAAATTGCATTTTTGACAACAGATAGCTGAATATTCACTTTCATCCATGTTATAATTCACTTGGAAAAACATCCCAGAAACTTGTATTATTTGAAAAGGGGGAACGATAGTTATTCCCTGGGTTACTAAAATTATACAAGTTTTACTCGCAATCAAAAAGCTGTGTTTACAAATTCATAATGTTTTTAAAAAACACAGTTCCCTGTCAGGGAACACAAAACCAGTTTTTTAAACTTTCAGGTGGGAATCTCACGTTAAAGTGTGTTTTTGAATACATTATTATGGAGTCTCATTAAGTATCGGTCAGTTCTATCATATTTTTACGAATTTGAAAAAAAAACAGTGCTCAGTAAGCATATCCATTATTATAGTCACTCAATCAATTCAACTAATGTAATGCAAGTAAATCGTGATTGAATGGGTACAAAAAATGTATGATGGAAAATAAGTAAACCTGAAACGTGAACGAAAAATTCAAAGATAAGCGAATATTCGTGGTAGACTCTTGACCAGAACGAGTTTTTGTTGTTTGTTTGTTTTTTGTGGAACATTGTGAATGAACGAGGTTTTTTCAATAGCATATAATTGTACTCTCAGGTCTTCAAAAAAACTCGAAAACATCATTCAGGCTGAAAAGTTATGATATGAAATGAAAGAATATGAAATTTGGTTTTATTATATTATAATTGCGTTCAAGGGCAATATTACGATCATGGCGGTCATGCCATTTTTTGATACCGTTTTTATATAACGATTTGTTTTTAGCCTTAAAACGGGCCTTAGTTTCGACGATTACCTCTTCATTGGCGTAGAATTTCTTTCCAGTGAGCATTTTGTTGAGGTCTAGAAACAGAAAAATTCGCCAGGAACCAGATCTGGAGAATACGGTATATGCGGAACCAACTCAATGCAATTTTGCCATCATTTTCATTGATTTGTGACACGGTGCATTGTCTTGATGAAACAGCATTTATTTTCTTCAATTGAGGTCGTTTCTATCATTATTTCGTCTTTCGAATACTCCAATAATGCTGTAATAGTCGCTTTTGGTGGTTTCTCCCTTTTCAAGATAGTCGATGCATACCAAAATATTCATGCACGATATGTCCAACTCGTTCCTTTGGTATCTTTAGAGCCTCAGCTATCTCAAACAATTCAACTTTGCAGTTATCCAAAATTATTTCATGGATTATTTTTTTGATGTTTTCGTGGGTAATAGCCTCTGTGCTGGGGCGTCCACTGGTGTTCACTGGTGTTCATGAATCGTCCTTGGTGTTCATGTCATCTCATTTCGACTTAGCAAACCACTTCCCAATGGTTGATTTTCCTGGCACAAAGCCCGAGTAATGTTTACCAAGCCAAACCTTGGCTTCGACAGTATTTTTTCCCCAAAAGCAATACTTTATTACCACACGAAATTTTTTTCATACATTTTCTTCAAACTGGGATATTCTATCCCACTTACTAGTAGTCCGTCAGCTGTGAAATTTGTACACGTGTCTTTTGAAGGTTAGGGTTGATTGAAAATAATATGGATTTAATACCAGTGGCGCCTACGAAAATTTCAACACATCTAATATTATTTATCTGTTCAAAAAAAATATGTTTAAAATCTGTTTTTCCGTTAACCGGCTGTCGCACCACTACGAACGACAACCCTCAGAAGTCGAAACTTGTGCGAGCTAAGGACTAACTAGGTTCTACCTTTTAACGTGTGATTCCTAACACGGAATACATGTTAATCGCTCGAAGGTTAGGAAAAAAGAAAATGAGAAAATTACCGACTGCAATATAAGTTTCAATTTAAAAAAATGAAAATTCACATTTCAATTTACTACTAAACAATTATTCAATATTAGAGAACGAATGACGCTACAAAGATTTTTTCAGTTCATATTCAAATTTATTCAATGAAAGTCATTTCATTTTATCTTCTAGGTAATTATGTGTGTTGATGATAATTGCACCTTAAGTGAGAAAGAATTCAGTTGTTTTATATCATATATGTGAACTCATATACAACGGAGTGAGATCATACCTTTCTCGGAAAAAAGTAACAACATTAAATCAATGGAACAACAAAAAAGAACAGCTCCTCTCTCAAAATCATATGTAGTTTTTTCTGATGAATCAGTAGAGGAAATATTTCATCAAATCGATCAAATAAATGAAATCTTAACATGCTTGTTGAGAGATTAAAACTAATAACATTATCTGGAATGTATCTAGAGATGATGCTTATGTTTTTATCATCGAAACAGCTATTGAGAAACCGGAACATCAAAGGGCTGCCGTCATCATAGGAGATCAAATTATCTAAAAGAACAATCCATTCAGGCCAGTCTCAAATTACCAACGCTGTAGGTTAATGGACTGACACCTATCAAAAAACAACTACTTTCCTGGCTAATATCACGAGGGGCGTTGGATTATATTCGGCAGGTTTCAGTGCAGGATTCTTCACTGAAGTTATTTCTGCATATGCACTGAAGTTATTCCTGCATATGCAAGAATAACTCAACTGCACTGAAGTTATTTCTGTAAAGAATCTATAATTGATACGAAAGTATGTTGAATTATACACAGTCCCTATTTTAATTGAAATATTCCATAACCATGAATGAGTGTCCAATAGTGTTAAATTAATTGTGTCTACTTGAATGAAACTTTCCTGGTCTGTACACTTCTTTTATCAAACCTCAAACATCATATATAGATATAGCGCTCCAAAATTGTTCTGACGTAGTTCAGACTCTGAGCTACAACGGCATATATCTCGTGACATACTAGCTTTCGAAATTTTTGCCATTTTATTCTGGATGGAAAACACTTTCAAAACATTTGAAAAAAAAAAACAAAATCAGATTTGACTCAAAAACCCTATTATATGTGTGTGGATTGGTTGCAACTTTGACAGATATTTGGTTTGTGTTCAAATTATTTCCTCTTTTCCATTTCTATTTGTAGAATAGTATTTTTAGAAGTAGCAGAAAATAAAGGAGGTACTATTTCCGTTAAATAGATGTGGATATTGAAAGATGAATTTATAGTTTTCGTTATGTGACATCAAAAATAATCCACGCCACTTGAAAGAAGGAATAAAATATCGGTCACCCCTCGTCACGACCTACAGCGAAGCAAATAAAAATCTTAAATATTCAACTGGCACCAAAGCTATCGGCTGACCCCCACCTCTAGCAGTAACAAAGATTTGTTAATTTTAAATATAACAATTTTCAGTTTGGTTGTAGTGTAGCTCGAAAAGAAGTAGGTAGGTCTCGATAAACACTATCTCTGCACAGCATCCGTTCTACTAGTTTCTGAAAGTCAGCCGGAGACATGTGGCAATACAAAGCCATTATAGCTGCCTGTGCAGTTTTTGCCGTAACTTTCGTTTTCGTCGATGCAGCGCAGTTACAGGGTATCCACAGAGGAAAAGTCAATAACACGAGAAAAGGAATTTGCACTTTGGAAGTTCCGTAAGTGTTTTTAAGTGCATTATTGCTTATATTGATTCATTAAGGTTTCATTTCTCAAAAATTATAATATCTCAACTTCGAAATATGAATTTTCATGAACAAAATATAAAAGAAATTGGCTCATTTCTAAGGTATCTCAACCAAGCAATTTCTATCTACAAATAGTGTCTGTTTATTTCTTACTGTTACTTACAGCTATTTCTCCAAACTAACTTATTATTCTGCAAAAAGTCAAATGACATAAACAATCATAGTTTTATGTCAAAAATTCTTATTTTTTGATCGATTTTCCAAAATCGACCTATTTTCAAAGATTCTCGCCCAAGAAATTATCATTTCAACTTTCGGAATACAACATCTCTCAAAACTTCAATTCCGGCATGAAAGTCAATGAACAATCTAGTGTTGCTGAATTGAAAAAAAATTAGGTATCCACCGGTTTCTTCGAGTCAATTTTAGACTTGTTAATAATTCAATAGGTGTCGCTGTTGCATGCAGAAAATTACGTTAAAGATGAATGTTTTCGAAGATCATGTCACTCTTCAATTAATTTCACAATATTTTTTGCATGAATATCCTGATGAATATGGGGTCACATATGATCTTGTGTTGAAACAAAAAAATTTCATCAACATTTCTAAAACACCAATTTTATAGAAACTAGTGATCCAACTGTAATTCAAATTATATACAATCAGAGGTACGTTCTTTCACAGAAGTATTTCAATGAGGAATTGAAGTACTGCCTACAAAATTATAACAGAATTCGCTATTAAAAATAATATCGATGTTATTAGAGAAATCAAAATACTGCATATAGCAGCGCTATATAGTTGGTAGGATTTTCAAACATCTGTGTTTTGGAATTTGATAGATAAATATAATAATCAACTGTTAGAAAATTATCATATTATCCACATTCACACGAATATCGTAGAATATAAGGATAGTAAAATGGTAAAAATGCTAATTAAAAAAAAAACAAATTATTATGAATTGATGTTGAGTTGAACAATAAGTAAGATGACGATTATATACAAACAATCAAAAGTGCAGTAAAATGCAGTTGAACAAAATAATTCAAATGAGTATAGAAGAAATACAAAAAAAAATAAGCAAAAAAAATCGAAACAAGTTACTTTACGACGTTTCGATTGCTAGTCCCCACAAATTTTTATTGGTTTGTGTTGCAAAACTTGTAGAAGGAAAATATTTAGTGACCTTCATGTTGTAAATATTTTTTCAATTCTCAAAATCATCAAATATTCATATGGTTTTCCTTCCATATAAAACACTTTATGGTGAGCTATAACAGAGACGTCTACTATACAATTTAGAGTGTAAATAAGCTTTTTCGCAGTAATTTGTTGGGAAACTGAATAACCTTGTTTCTTAATCATTGCCATTATTAACATATCAAAAGGTTATTTACGAGTGGACAACAATTACGTCATTAATTCATCTACAGAAATGCTACTTTTACAAATTAGTGTATGACTTATGGAAACTATTCGTGACTCTCGGGGGTTCATTTTTCATCAGTTATCGTATGAATCAAGCAAAATAAATAACCCTCAAATGAACTGAAGCTAAAACAGATAATAATGAAACATTATTTTGGTGACTATTTGTAATTTGATGAAACATAAGATGAAGTTTGTTCGATTGATGACCTATTTATTTTGTAAAAATTCATATTGAATATGAATTAAAAAAATAACTTTTTTCTGATATCTACGATTTTTACTTTTTACGATCAGTTCCGGTTTATTAAACCATTTATTTTCAAGTAAACTTAAGTTTACTCAGGTTTATTTGAAAATGGTTCAATAAACCGGAACTGGTAGTAACAAATAAAAACCGTAGTGAAAATTAGACAAAAGTTACTTTTTTTACTGCAATGCGGATATTGATAAACTCATCGATTGGAAAATTATATTTTTTTATAAATTCAGTTCATCAATTGATATATTAGTTTGTTTCGAAAATACTACTGAAACTTCGAAATTAATCCTAATATCATTAATACTAGATCTTGAGAAAGAGGCATAGCTTAGTAATCTAACATCTTGACAACTCTATGACTAGACTATTGAAAACAAAGTTACATCAGAAAGTAATGGAGTAAATCTAAAGCATATACCCCGAGGAAAATATTTATCAGTTCTAGTATTGAACCAGAGCAGTTCCGCTGGAGTTCGACGCTCAATATTCACAATGCTCTTGAGAAAAGTTGTATCACCTCTGAATAAAATTTCTGAACCACCTCACTTCAGATATTTCCTTCGTTTTGTCGCTGGTTATAAACTCTACCTAGTATCCAACTCCAACTGCGTATGCTCTAGCACTAAATATCATACAAATAAACAACATACGGCATCGCTGCCTTCATCAGTACCACACCAGCCAAAGAGATCAGTATACTGATACTCTAATGGTCAGGGTCGTTACTCAAAGATCATGTACTTACTTTGCGCCTGAACTCTACAATCGAACTCCTGAAAATATAAAATCTATCTCAAATATTGATCGCTTTAAAAAAAAGTTGAAAGAGCATATTCTTCAAAGTCAGAGACTTGAACTTCTACGTCCATTTGGAAAAAAACCATACGTACCTCTGCTGTATTGTCCACTTACAATTCTGTAATACATATGTGTATATATGTGTATATAAGGGCACTATCGTTTTGTCAATATATATCACATCCATTTTCAACAACATCCATATCGATTTCAACATGTTTTTATATATTATTACTAGTACGCGTATTTTACAATTGTGATTTCATACTTAATTGTCAATTTAGTTTTATGTTTGTATGATTTTATATTTAAATGATATCTTATGTCAAAACATTTTGGGGAAATAACTGAGAATTGGGAAAGACAATAGAGAAGTATTCTCAAATATAGAGAATGAGACCGAGTTGATACCAAACATTACAAGAAGTAGGTTTTAAAAAAGAAATTATGGAAACAGAACGCAAAATCAAATTCAAAATTTTCTATCCATTACGTTACTCACTTCCATTTAGCATTCAGTCAACTGACATACTGTCACATTGCACAAGCATTTGTGATGCACTGTTTGGAATCTTTGGTGCAGTAATTAATATTACTTGGGAAAGATTAAACTAAACAGTTTAATCTTCCTCTTTAAGATGATCACTTGGTGACTGAAACACGTGTCGAGGTGTTGAGAATAACGGTTTGGTGTTGGTATTAAACTCCAGTGATATTCATTTTGTGCAAGCATATCTTTTTTTTTCAGGACAGTCGACTTGTTGACACCTGAAGATAGACGTAACGGAGTACCTAGAGGAAATGGAGTGAGTACCAATCTCTTATTCGAATGGTGATGTGATGTTGATGATGAATTAATTTACTAAAAATTGACTTTCAGAATATCAATGAGTTGGGAAAGAAAGTTTTTGGCTTTCTACTACTCCATCTTGATATAAAAAAGTGGGAATATTCCAAAGAAAGGAATGAAGATTCCCACTTTTCTTTCGTATCAAGATGGACTAGTAGAAAGCCAAAAACTTTCTTTCCCAAAAAATAATCACTCCTAAAATTATAACCCTTTGAATATAATTAATACGTTCTTCAAACGACATATGAAATCATAATACACGCATATTGACTACGATAGTTCTACTGTCTTGTGTCTTCTGAAGGTAACAGTATGGCAAAAGTGACATATGTTTAGCACATCATTTCGTCGTCAGAATCTGTCACCTAATTCACACATTGTGTAACCTTTGGACTGCCAAACATTCGCATCTCTTGATTCAATTTCATTGGTATTGGTTATTTCATGGTGTTACATATATCGCCATTTTTTTAAGGAAAAAACACACGCACTATAGGAAAATCCTTGAGACGCTCTGAGAGCGGTGCCTGTGCAAAATTAGCGATTTACATTGGATTTGAATCGTTGGAGATTAAATCCATTTGGAAAAACGTTCTCAGGAAGTTCATTCCACATGAGCGCAGTCTTCAAATGGAAGAGTTCTTGAACGGCGAAGTTCGAGGTGTACTGAGTTGAACCTGAAAACGATGAGCAGCCACAGTTCGTCACGTATTTCTGATATGTACCGCTCTTGTTGGAATCAAATGTGCCAAATCACTTGAACACTTCCCGTGAAAGTAACTATGAAAGAGAGACAAATCTCCAACCTTTCTTCAATGTTCCAAACTATCAATATTGCAAGTGATGTTCGAGTCTCCAATCAGGCAGATGGCTCTTTTCTGAATGGAATCCAGCAGCTTCAAGGTATACTTAGAGGCGGAGATACATGAGAACAATATTCCAAAGGAGGTCTGATCTGAGCTTTATAAAGCATCAAAAGTTGCTGAGGTGTGTACAGTTTTCTGGTATAGAATGACCTACTCAAGTGCTGTTTGAAGGTATTTGCATGGAATTGGTAATTGATGAAATGGTAAAAGACTTCAGCGAGGTGCCCAGTGAAAACACACAAGTTGATCTTGATACTATTAAGAACAAGAAAACATCGTTAAGAAACCCAAGTTGAGAAAATCTACGATAAGAAAGGTCAATCGCTAGTGAAAAAACGGAGTGTGATTTTGGACTATACATTGCTCAAATACAAAACACGGGCCAATAGACTCCGTGTTTGGGAGTCTGTTGAAGGCGTTGTTTGAAACAATGTTCAAATCAACTTGACAAAAATACTTATGGAAAAATCGGATGTGGAACCATTTCAACGAAATGATGTTTCTGTAATATGCCAACTAGATCAGTCAACGTAACTTAAAATGTCCATGACTATAATAATGAAAAATTGAAAGGCGTGTATTGTTCTCTTCTCAATTTTCAGAAAACTGTCACTACCGATGACAGTATTACCGATGATTGTTTGATAACGTACACAAAGGCATTCATTATAGGCTAGAATTGACGTTCTTGTCATATTCCCCTGAACTCCACGAGAACACAACTCTAATCGGCATAATGAAGCCAAATGATTTATCGTCTTGGACTGACCAACCATCTAATCAGACAATTTTGGACTTCTAGAAATACCAACAAACGCCACAAATCTAGTTCTTACCCAACAGTACCAAACGGCATTTGCCAATGTTGTGACACTTTTGGGTTCGCAACATATTTAACATATTTAATATGTATATGTTTAATATATGTCAATTTATATCATTTGACACGTTTTATCTTGACGTCGACATACCGAATATATGCCACCTTTGCCATATCGCGTACTTTCAACTGAATACGAATGATTTTTGAAAATATTTCAAGACACCTTATTTTTTCACAGCAGCAATATTTTCATCGATTGTTGTGTTCCTGAATAGGAATCTTTTGACTAACTACGATATATCATTGAGATTACTTGTTAAAATCATTTGAGAAAAATTGCCACGTTGCCATCATTAGATTAGGCTTCTAAACCTTGTAGAAACATACTGAACTTGAACTTTTTTCAGTCCAGGACAGGCTACAGTAAAATCGAAATTTGCTGCTCTGGATACGAAAGAGTGCCACATACCCATTTTGTCTGCAACCCAATTTGTAAAGGCTGTGAACACGGTAAGTTAAAAAAAAAGTTAACTAACAATCAAGATATTCTGATAGCCTGTGCAAAACCATGCTGCATAAGTCAGTAGTCCATGACTATCAAAGTAGCTTGTGGTCTTCAATGAGATATGGAACTTCTGTAGGAGATGTGCATTGCCAATTGGCATTCATGCAGTTGTATAGAAAAGCGAGATAAGTATGGTGTCATCATCAGAGCAATGTATGTCTTCTGATATCTCACAATTGGTTGTTGATTTGCCATAATAAAAAATTCAAAGCAAGTCAAAACAATCGATTCAAGTTGGTAAATCTTCATGCCAAACTCTGCCAAAGACTTTAGGAAAATCGAACAGAATAGCTCGTGTCTCTCCATTTTGGCCATTTTCGAGAAGTATGCCATTTTTACATTCCAAAATGACCAGGAATATGAATAACACCCTTCTGATCTTCATCAGGAATATGGGTATATTTGTCATTCATCTCACTGAAGATACCGTTGTCTGGTTAGTCTCTTTAGTAAATTTTCTACGACCTAACTCTGCCTCTTTGTTACATTGTCTGCGCTCCTATATATTTGGGATGTCCTTTAACGGAAAATGCCTTGTAATTACTCTGAGCCGATCCCTGCTGTGGAACATTCTTCAGTAGTTTTTTCAGGCGATCCTTCCGTGATTGTTTTCCAGTACTCTTTATGTCTAGCTGATCCTAGTCCAATATATGGCGCTGATGATCCGTGTTTGGCTCACACATCAGCTCTTTCATTGCCTGTGAGTCATGGGTGTCCAGAATAAAGTCAATCTAGTCCGGATCACTAGTTTTTTTCAGTTCATGTCATCCCCATACTAATCCGGCCATCTGTAAGAATGTTGATTAGCTCATCTCTTTTTAGGCTCCAAATTGAAATTTCTATGGCAATGCAAGATTGCAAACACTTCCACCTGAAAGACGGATGGGTATTGATAGCTGCTAGCTGAAAAGTAAATTCATTATCTTAAAGTACCTATATCTCAGCTTCCGTCGCATATTCGGTTTTCGACGTGTCTCCAAATATTTTGGTATCTTACTTTGTGTTCCCATATCAACTGGAACAAACTGTATATACACTTCAGTTTCTGGTGGTGAACATTATAATTTTTCAGGTAATTGTACTGCCCCTAATGTTTGTGAATGCAAACGAGGATACATCTATGACTCCCTTAATGATGACTGCATTCCAACTTGTCCCTTCGGCTGCTTGAATGGTGTTTGCACCAACAACGGACAATGTTCTTGTAATGCTGGAAATGTACTCAGTGCCAACGGAAAATATTGTCTTCCCCATTGTACAGGTGGTTGTGGAGTCGGTGGGCGATGTACAGGGCCTGAAATTTGTACCTGTGACCCAGGGTAAGTAGATCAAGATATGATTGGTTATCTCAAAAGATGACAACGATTGAAAATAATAATGTGTAGTGAAATGATGATGTACAGATTGCTAGTCTATATGGATTTTGCTATCCTGGTAATGGAGAATTGAACAAACGTTTCTTCTTTTACATGATGATGTGTGGAAAAATTGGGATGACTTGTTTCGATCTAAACATGTATAACCTGTCGATACGTGTTGCACAAGAGAACTGACTACCGTTGAACTGAAACGATTTTTAATCGAGCAGGAAATTAGAGACATACCTGCAATTTGGTGAATATCAAAGTACGCGTTGTTTTCGATAGAATTCATTAAGCAAATTTGACAAACTTTCGACAGTATGGTCATTGATTTGCCTTCATTTCGACAATATCAACTGGGTTCTATAGAGATAAAAGAATGTCTTCTGAATCATAGACCAAAAATAACTCATGTTTCTGAAAGCTACAGTTTTTCAAACGTTCAGAAGCTAATATCGTATAAATGATAGAGTAGAATATAAAATCAAGCTCAGGAAAGTAAGTTTCTGAAATTTTGAATTCCCATAATCCACATAATTAATATTCGAAACAACAATTTCAGAAGTGTTTTATTTCCAATCAACTTTGAATCCACCTGCAGTTCGTAACTGAAACACACATTCATTTCCAAATTGCTCACTTCAAAATCACCTAATAGTGGCATTCAAACTGAAAAAACTCAATCTATAACATTTTTTTTGATATTCTATTATTTTTTGTATGTTAAAAAGCTTCCTTGACATCTAACGAGGCATTTTAGAAATGAAACGATTCACCGAAGAAAAAACTGGGGAATATCCTTAGATTTTTCCAAATCTGAAGACGGAGGCAGAAATTAGCCTTAGAAACGTTAGAATGAATATCTATATAATCTCATAGTTTTTTTCGATAAGCGAATCACTGATGAATGGTGCTTGTTTTTCTGAAAATACACAGTAACTTATCGTAATTAACTGAAAAACTTGCTCTTTCTAAACGTGTATGAAGTTCTCCATTACAAGTTTCATATATTTTCAGATTGTAGGAGGTGAAAATACCTAAAGAATGTCGATGTGAACGTTAGGTTGGGTCCGAAGTGAGTGAGTCTATTCAACCCTCCACCACCTATCCACACTCGACAAAATAAAACTAGCTTCCTAACGAAGCCGATTAGTTTGTATGGTCAGTGGTCTTTCAGGCCTGTTTTCCAAACAGAGGCGACACACACTGTCTTTCGACATGAATTTGCCGTCGCTCTCATTGCTCTAGCCAAAAGCCTTCCAACTGAGCATTTTCCCTCTATCTACCCCTACTACTGTCAAGGGAACCCCTACTCCTCCTAACTCACCCCCCTCACGCATCCCCGAGGCGGAACGTCGACAATGCCGGAGGACGAACTAGCAGGGCAGAAGACCCTTTTCTTTATTTTTTTCCCAGTTAGTACAATATTCATAACATTTACATATTTACATTTACATAATATTTACAATTACCCATATTTCATAACAACTTAACATATATCTCTCCACATCTGTACTTTTAGCATAATGAAAATAAATCAACAACTACCCTATCCTTTTATCATGATAATAATGAAAATAAAACATAACAAAATTGACTCCCTACTCCCAAATAACAATATGAAATAATACCTATCTAACGTTTTCCCTCATTCCATCGCCCAACTTGCCAGGTCTGTGTCGCCTTCGTTGTCTGCTTAGCCTGACCAGGCTCTTATGCTTTATTTTAATTCCTAGCTCCGTTGTAATTAGCAGCTTTCTTTTTTCACTCTCCCATTCGTTACTCACCACGTTCTCTGCCCATTCATTTAAGAATCTTTTCCAGTCATCCCTTTTTCCATTCCTATCCCTTAATGTTATCTCCCCTTTTTCTCTTTCCATTCGTTCCTTCCATTCACGCCATCCAGTCCTGTCCCCGTTCATGCATCTCTCGATCACGTGATCTGCCGTTTCTGGTTCCTCGTATCCACAGGGGCATGGCACTGCCCCGGTGTCAGGTTGACCCTAGCCAGGTATCCTGGGAAGTTATCGTGCCCTGTCAGCAATTGTACGGCCTTCTTCGAAAGATCCAGCGGTTTATACCCAACTGTTTTACAAAATTTGTAAAACAGTTGCCCGGTCGTACCGCTCTCCCATTCCCTTTGCCAGTCGCCCTTGATGCATTTCTTTATTCTCTTTCGCTCTTCATTCTTACTACCTATCTTTCTCACCTCCCACGTCACGCTCCCTGCATCCAACCCCTTTGTAGCTTCCTCGTGGGCCTTCCGATTGCCCAGGTTTTTCACTGAGTGTCCTTTTCGCCAGACAATACAGGTCCGTGCTCCCCTTTCCCTCCTCTCCTCAGTCTTTCTGTGTATCATTGCTACCCTCTTATTCTTTGTTCTCCCCCTTTTCATCCCTTCCACAGCCACCGCGGATTCACTATCATAACGCTCTCTTCCATATTCCACATATCCAACACCCTCTCGATCGCAATCCTCTCCTCCTCATTCACACTGCTCTGTTCGTTGAATCTTTCATTCCCTGTGACCCATTCACCCCCCTCTGTCTACCATGCACAACCTATGCCTACTCTATCTTCTTCTAACCTTATCCCGGCGTCCACATGCACCTCAGTCATTCTTTCTCTCCCCGCTTCCCCCAGCAAAATCCCTTGCATCCATGGGGCTACCCTATCACCTCCTTTTACTCTTCAATCCTCTCAGTATGTTGCCCTCGCTTCCACGTGTAGTGGGGCTATCCCGGAAATCACGCAGAGCGCAGCCGTCGGCGTTGTCCTGTACGCCCGGCTTGAGGCGATCAGAAAGGGCCTCTGCGCTGCGCTCAGCTGCCTTTTCTCTCTGGTATCATGCACTTTGTATCCCCATACTTGTACCCCGTATAACATCGCTGGTTTCGCTACCCTTTCATAAATGATTCGCACGCATTCTCTCCTGAGCACGGCCTTCTTTCCGGTCCACCTCCTCAGTTTTACCACCAGTCATCTTCTTTCTCACCTCCTTGTGGTGGTCAATGATTGTCCGAGTCTCTGCATATGATGATTCAAATGACACTGACCTGTGAGAAGGCAGACATCGTTAGACATCGTAGTTCATCCCTACTGTAGTTCAAAAGATATAAAGTATATCTAGTAATCCTCTAACATTACGTCGTTTAGAGCTCTTTTCTCTGGATTATTTTTCATAACTCACCCATAATTTTTCCATGTATATCAACTCCATTTCATTAACAAAATGTTTCAGTTGGAAAAAACAAACAAAAATAGCCAAAACGTTATGGAATTGGCCGAAACTTTCTGAAAATCCAAAACGTATTCAGGTAACAATTTATTGTGGGAGTCAGTATAAACACGCCTGCGGTTTTGTAAACTGTTCAGTAAAAATTTCACGATGAGGTGGTACTTGACCATATAAAATCAGCAACGTTTATCAACCTTTTGACAAACCTTATTATTTCAATTCATTTATTCCTTTGCAGATCTATTGTGCAGTCTGTATTGTTGAAATTTAATGATTTGTAGTCAATTTCAAAATAATTGGGAAGTATTGACGTTGTTAACTCTATATTAATTGAAGTAAACTGTTCCTTCTAACATAATTAGAGAATATCATAATCAGTTGTTTACATATATTTCCTCTATTTCTCTCAAATTGTATCCTCTTATTGGAGAAACTTCCGTCCTACGTTCTGTGTTACTCTATACACTGATTTAATTACATTTGTTGTGCTCATTAGCGGAAATATTATATATTCGTCGGCAAATTGTGAAAGTTTGCCAACTGAGATCAGCAGTACACGCTGTTAATGAACTTTGAATTGAATCATGCGAGACTGCGATAAAGAAAGTTAAAACATTCAGTATCCAAAACAGTGGACCTAAAAGTCGACCCACCATTCCGTTTGAAATAACCAAGCATCATTGCTTCGAGCGAATGATTAATGGTGAATGGTTAGCTTCAGTGGATTTTTGGAAGAGAATGACATAATCACTCAAACAAAGATATTGGTTTCAATAACATCACCGACGATACTGGAATAAATATATTTCGTAAACAAGGTGTTTTGTTGCCTTCATAAATAAACCCTGACCTCCATTGTTGATAATTGTTGATTTCTGCGGTAATCATTTGCCATTATTCGAATACAAATAATTCAATGCTTCATTGAACATTCAAGTTCAGCCTTCAAAAATCAACTGGTGTTTTTTTCGTATCATCAAACGAAAAACTTCAATCAAGATAAACACTCAAGTTGGCCTACATTCTAGCTGCCTTTTATTTGTACAGTAGTATATGGGCTGGAAAGTCTCGGGGCTAACACATAGATGGCTCTAGTTTAAATGCATTCATCACTTAATCAGTTAGGGCAGCTTGTCAAATCTAGGAAGAGACTCGAGAAATCTTTCTCTCTCTCTCTCTCTCTTCTCTCTCTTTCTCTCACTCTAATTTCTTCTAATGAACGCAGATCTAGTGAGTGGGACCGTAACGGAATTTAGAAACCTCTTCCAACATTTGACAAGATGTACTAACCTTCAAAAAAAAGCTGTAGGAATTTCTTGATATTCTACTCATGAGTTTATGAGTTATTGGGCTAAGAGTGGCACTACTTTTGTTAATTTCAAAACTATGGATCAAAACAAGTTCGTGTTTTAAGTTTACACTGCTTCTTGATGGAAAAAATATAGTTTAAGGCAAGCAACGGCTTGAGAAGTGTTATGAGAACTCTACTCCATGAGAAACAACAATTTAACGTTGGTTTGCTGACTTCAAACGTGGTTGTAGAGAGACATCGATGATGCAGAACGCAGTTGCACCAAAAAAAAAATGAAAAATCCACGATATCGTTTTGAATGATCAAAAAGAGAAGTTTCATGAGTTAACTAACATTCTAAAGATATCAAAATAACGTGTTGGTTTTATTTTGCATGAAGATTCTGTTCTGGGCAGAAGCTCTGTTCAAAGTTGGTGGCGGGCGAGCTCACTGTTGATCAAAAACAAGAACGTCCTGACGATTCTGAGCAGTGTTTAGCCATGTTTAAACATAACAAACCGAAATTTTTGCGTCGATATGTGACAATGTATGACTCCAGAATCAAAATGATCGTCATCCGAGTGGACAGCAACTGGTGAACCTCATCCAAAGCGCCCGAAAGCACAACAATCGGCTGGAAAGGTTATGGCCTCGGTATTTTGGGATGTACGTGGTGTAATATTCATCGACTATCTTGAGAAGGAAAATGCTATCAAGTGTGGATTATATAGCGTTATTGGAGCGCTTAAAGGCCGAAATCAATTAAAACGATGGCAAAATTGCATGAAATGGGCTTTGAATCTCTTCCGCATATACCATATTCGCCTGTTTTGGCTTCCAGCGACTAGGCTGTTCGCAAATCTCAAAAATAAGCTCACCGGTAAGAAACTTCTCTCGAATTGAGAGGTTATTGCTAAACTGAGGCCTATTTTTACGCCAAAGACAAATCGTTCTACAAAAGTGGTATTGAAATGATAGAAAGTCGCTGGAATTATTGTGTGTCTCTTAATGGAGATTATTACGTTTATAAATGAAGCCCCTTTTGAACAAAAAAACGCGTATTCTTTTTCATGCCGGGGACTTCACAACCCAGGTGTCATCTATTCCTATATCATTATTTTCTTGATTGCTTTTCATGTTTCACAGTATTATACGAGTATGTATACCTACTATGAATATTTAAATTTTTCCTTGAATTATATTTTCAATATACTTTGTATGAAGTTATCTCCCATTTTAGTTATTACTAATAATCTGTTTTTCCGTTAACCAACGTGATACAGTTTAAAAAAAGGATGCATGGACAGTACTGTTTCGATCCATTATAGTTCTCATCAAAGATGCAAGGCAAATGACAAGGCGGCAAAGATACCGTTTATTTCTGAGTTGTATATTACTTTCAAATCATTTCACTTAGGCAAATCATAATCTTTTCTCAGTGTAATCAACGTAGATAACTTCTGGGCTATATCTCTACCTATTCATTTAAACCTCTAATGTAATGTACTACTTCCAATAAACTTTTTTATTATTATTATCTGAATGAAATAAGAAGCTTCAAATTTGCTGGTAAAGTTACAGTTTTCCTTCACAAAACTGAAGACAAAAATGAAAAGGACTGCCCAAAGTATAGGGATAAACTATGTTGTGTGCTGACTACCTGTAGAACACAATTAGTTTGGAGATGAAATAACCACTACCTTGTGAAACCTTTGCTATGATGGCATTTGGTGTTCAAGTTTCAGTAAAGGTTGGGCTTGTAGGATCCATTAACTTCACTATGCGTTATAATTGGATCCATATTTCTTTGTCAATTCGGATCTTTTTCACAATCTTGTGATAGTCAAAGGTCATGTGTTTTACTGTAATGTTGCCCTGACATGATTTACATGTCTCAACTTGTTTCTCCATTGAGATGTTGGTGAGTGAGTTGAGTCTGATCATTGCGCATTCTTGAAAGGATGACATAAATGACCATCTGAATTGTTTGGCTTGATCTCCCCCAGATTTTGCCTTCTGAAATGTCATGGTTGCCTTGTGTATCCAATACTGTCTTTGAAATAACAGTAAAGTACTATCTGGATGTTTCTGGCTCCAGCAACAGGATATCTTTTAATGGCTGCATTATCTGCCATTTCGTTTTCAGGAGAGAAAATCTGCTGTCAAGTTGTTTTTATTGGTTTTCAACCTCAGCTATTTCTTTTTCATAACGCTGTATAAGTGGTTTTTAGGGTACAGTTGTGACATATCCAGTATGACGCTTAGAAATTGAGAGAAAATTGCAATTTTTCTGCGAGTTGCCCAAGAGATTTTCTTAATCTTGTTATCAATTCAAGATAGTTAGTTAGCAGGAACAATCAGAAATATTTTTTCACGATCTTCGTCTCCTGTGAAAGAAATGATAATGGAAGTTTCTCGAAGATTTGAATCCAAATCAGATTTTTAATATGAAAATTCCTGATAGTCAACTTGACTAAGTAACAAATTGCATTCCAATTAGATGTTGATACACCTGTGATTACTCTTATCATTCATTGATTCCATTTACTTCAATGTCAGCATTTCAAATCATTTTTACATGAATTATTTCCCATTTTCGATGGGAAAATGTGAAAATTTTGAGAAGGCATTAATTTTTGGAAAAATCTCCAATAGAAAAATAAATGAATATAAACGGATTTGTAAGATTTCTTCACAATGTTGTGAAGATTATGCACAAATGTATAAACAAATATATGAAAAGTTATTTACGTAAAAAACGGTTTTCTCTTTCAGCTTCTAATCCAAATATTTGTTGTGGAATTCAAATAGATATATAGATACACAGAAACAAGAGTATCGTGACGAATTTCCACTAATTTATTCAAGTTTTTCATTCTTTCTTTGAAATATTCCATTTTTTTTATAATGGTGGAGAAGTAAACAGTCTCAAGTTTTTTTTCCAACAAACAACTCCGTATCGTGAATGGAGTCTTTCAGTTGGAATCGGTACCAAATTGTTCAAAATGTATTTCTTTCAGATTCATCCTGGATAGCAAAACGCACAAATGTGGATACCACTGCGAAGGAGGTTGTGGTGAAGGCACGTGTATTGGGCCCAACCAATGTTCCTGCAAGCCAGGCTATAAGCTTCTGGATCACACCTGCATAGCAGATTGTCCCAAAGGTTGCCACAACGGGGATTGTATTGCTCCAAACAGGTATTACTCAGACAAATTTAATTATTAATTACCAATTTCCCAAAGTACTTATGGTATAATGAATAAAAAATCACCCAGCGAAGTAATTATAATATCAACCTCATTTTTAGGTGTTCCTGTAAACCTGGATGGACTCTAGATGGGTCTGGAACAGTTTGTTCTCCTCATTGCAACCAAATGTGCCTCAATGGTGACTGTGTTGCTCCTGATACGTGTGCTTGCAAGAAAGGTAGGTTCATTTGGTAAAATGAAGAAAACGTATTCGATCTCAAATACTGTTAAGAATACGGGTTATCTAAGATCATAAATGTCTCAAACATCTGAGAACCTTTTGACTTTTGTCTAAAACAAACAAGATATTTTTAACGTATTTTCAAGTTATTTGATAAGGAAAAAAGCCATATCATAAGCTATTTGAATATGGACAACAACGACACAAACATATTTCGAAATATTCATAAGAATTATGGAACCGGTTCCAAAAGTGGAATGATCTGAAGGATATTCAAAAAGTATCTATATCCAAGTGGATTATTTCCAATTTGCATTAAAAATATCGGTTCCAGCGGACTATACGTCCCTTCCAAATTGCGAATTTCTCACTCCAGAAACAACTGAATGTTGACTTGTAAATGATTCCGTTGTCAAAATTTGAAAATTTTGTTTCAAACAATGGTGACATTTGACCTTTTTGAGATGTTTGGCATATACTGTATGAGATCTTAAATATAGTCTTGGAAGTACACTGAAGTTGGTTAGGAAAACCTCCTTCTGCGCAAACAAAATGAAACTTCATTCTCAATAGACAGATCAGTCTATATTCAATAACCAGAGAGAGCAGTAGCAGAGGGATAATACGACCGTATCCTCTTCGTCCTGTCATTGTCGATCTCCAGAGTCTTCCTCTTCAGCATTATCTCCCTTTCGAGGTCGCTCCTGGCCTGTATCAGCTTGCCTTGTGACTCTTCGGCTTGGTTCATCTGGGCTTGAAGTGCTGCCACAGACTCTCCTATCGACTTGACTTCCTCCACCAAGCCGAAATGCGGAACATCGCGACAGTTCTCCACCCGGGGTCTGTTGAGGCGGTTATCCAGACGGGTTTGAGCCTTTTTCATGGGGGTGTCCATTCTTCTGATGGCGTTTCGCAAGGCATCCTTCAGGTCTTCAACGTCCGCTAATCTGGATGAAGGAGAGTATTTCAGTTAACGATAAAATATGAAATAGAAACAGTCCAATGACATTGCACTGAAAAATGAATGATTTGAGTTATTCATTATTTATGGAATTCAGTTTAGGAAATCTCACGTCACAGGTGAAGTTCTCAAAAATGAAAATATTTTTCACTTTGGTGGACTTTATTGAGATGTCGGAAGTGATCCCTTCAAGAGCTCAGGAACACCAAAAGTTAGATGTTCAGAAAGGATATCTGCTTTGGTACTTAGTAAACCGCGAGAACTTTATCCATTTTTATCAAATCTGAATTATGTTCTAAAATGTCTGTAATTTTACCCTACTTTCTTCGTTGATTCAGCTCTTCAAAAAGCATGTAGCTATATGCCAATCGCCAGGATCCATAAAAAGAGATGCAATAAGAAGTATCCTCATACCTTGCATATTCCATGAAAGAAACTGGGTCGCTGATAATTAAAGTAGTTGCCAAAAAATCTAATGATCTAATGAACGAAGAACATCAAACATCAGGATATAACTTTCGTTCCATCACACGTGAAAAACTAGCAGTCTGTGATGATGTAATTATCGAATGTATCTGGTGCTGCGGATAAAAATATTACTCAAAGAATGAGTCAAGTTAAATACAGATAAAATGCGTTCTAGTTGCAAATTCAGAGATTCATGGCAATGAAATCTTTGAGTTTCAGATTGCATAGTTTTAAAAGCTCTTCACAAGGAACTAGAGAGTTCATAGCTGGCTAAAGTTTTCTATAATTATTTAATCATAGAAATTAAATCAGTATGATGACTGTATCGAGGTGAGGTGCAAAGGTACTGAGAAAATAGTTATTTCAAATAAAAATAGGAACTTTCACCTATTCCAGCAGAATCTGACAAGTCCTGTTAGAAAATAATCCTCCTGGATAGTGTCATGATGGTCATTGAAATGTATCCGACATATATTTGTAAATATATGACTGAATGAAACACTTTTGTAAAATAAGAAGGTCTCATCAATGGTGATAGGCTGAAACACAAATGCATTCCTGCCGGTGAATCATAATAGCGTTGTTTGGTCCCTGGTTAACAGTAAGTTGCCTTGCAGTGAAAGCTGCAGTAACAGGAAGGGGACGAATTTCGATCGACAGTCGATGTCGATCCATGGATTTGCAACTAAACCTTCTGGGGAACCTTGTTTATTATCGACATTCGAAGATTCAGTTCTTTGTCGATCCTCTAGATGGCGTCTTTGTAGGGGGATAAATGTTAATAAACAAAGAGTAGGGGGGCTATGCCTACATGTAAGTCGAAAAATAAAGAGACTCAAAAAACTAATGACTTTAAGAATATACCTGACTCAACATGCAGTGTCTGCCACAACGTTAGATTTGAAATTCTAGATGAATGGACTCTTCGAAATTATTCACAAAACTAGGTTTGTTCATTGGAAAAATTATATATTAGGTACTTTCCATATTTGGATTCTACAAAAATAGTGCTTCGAAAAAATATGAATCATATTAGCCATGATCACTTTGCTATGATATTTCGAAAATGTCGTTCCTTCACTGTCGAATAATAAATTCACCATATTATTTTTTGTAATACTGGGTCAATCAAAATTCAAGAATTTTTTTTTTATTGTTTCCAAACTTTCTGAATGTATCTACATATGAAGTATTGTGGGTTTGTATATATTGTGCGTTTCATTATCAAAAACAAAAATAATGTCGAAAGTATTTCTAATATAAAATATCTTCAAAAAAACTTGATTTTGAGCTCCTGATGGGTTATATAATAGATATTTGGTGAACAACCACAATGGGAATATGTTATTTTGTACGGAAGAGTCAATTTTAACAACGGTTAACATAAAGACATTTGTTGAATATGAGAATTACTCATATGGATGGGGAAATAAAATTACATGAGAGCTAACTTGGTCAATGAGGTTTAGTCGGCACCAAAATTTTTCAGCTTATATCAACTTGTTTCTTGTAAAATTACTATTCCAAATTTTGAGTCTTTCAGTATTTGTGTCGAGTCACTAGTTGATTTTGGTGTATTATTCATCTTATAACTTCTGAACTACTTTGTATGTATACATTCATTCAACCCCAATCCAGAGATTTTTTCCCCAGTATCTGGTGAAAATATTATTCGATAATCATAAAACTACATCATGAATATTATTGGAGTTTTTTCCTAACACCAAACCGTTATTTTAACACCTTGACACGTGTTTCAATCCCCAAGTGATCACCTTTAAGAGGAAGATAAACTAAACTCAGTTCAGTTTGTTTTTCCTTCTGAAGATGATCACTTGGTGATCGAAACACGTGTCGAGATGTTAAAATAACGGTTTTGTGTTGGGAAAAAACTGCAGTAATATTCATTACCACATCAAAGATTCCAAACAGTGCATCACAAGTTTTAGGCATTATAACAAAAAAAAGAGTCGGTCAAATAAGTTTTCATTGAAAATGTTCGCGGTTGAATAGATTGGCTTGTTGGCATTGTTTTAAAAATTACCTTTGAACCTCTTAGATATGTTTCTTAGAAGCATTTGACAAAACTTGTGGCTGGACATTTGAAAAATATGTAACTTTAATACATCACGCGTTTACTCGATACCCTGAATATTGTTGAATAATTTTGGACAACCTATCAAAAAAGTATCTGAAACTTGTATACATAATGTTTTTTTATACATCGTATTCTCTGTACACACCAGATTTTTGAAACTGAACTAAACTCACCTCCTCAGAACTTGTTTCAATTCGTTCTCCAGCCTATTTGTTACTTCTTGCGTACAGGCTATTCTTCTGGCCAGTGCCATTTCCACTCTATCAGCCTGAGAGCGCAAATCTCTGGCGGCGTTATTCAAAATGGCGTCCAAAGTGCCCCTCAGAGTAGCCGACCGCTGTCTCGTAGCTTCACCCTCGAGCAAAGTTTCCCTCGTGAAGTGCTCCCAATACTCCGGAGTGGACTGTTCCTCCGGGAAACACACAGCTCCGGGCTTGAAGAGCAAGACGTTCGAGCGATTGTTGAAAGCCATGTTGATGGCATCGATTTCGTGGGCAACTTTTTTGTCGCTCCAGTCGTATTCTAGCCGTTGTTTTATCGTTTTGTCTTCTATTAGTTGTTTCTCCACGTCTTTGAGGGTCCTGGAGAAGATGTCGCGTATTTCCGCGCATAGAGCTACCTCTCTGATGAGTTCGTCTTCTACTTCGTCGCGGACCAGTTCTGAGTCCATTCTTCCGGTACGACGTTCCAAACATTCGCCTATTTTTTGTGAAAGGAGTAATTCAAGTTAACATGTTTAGATAATTATACATCATAAAAAAGTGACAATTAAGGTAATAAGTAATAAGGGTTGTTACCATTGCTTTGGTGTCCGCAAAGTCAACTAACGTTAAGATATTCGTAATTATGTGCTCAAGAATAATTGTTGTCATAATAGAAGCAAAGTCAGCAATATACATCACAGGATTATTTACTATGTCGCGAGCGAGAAGAATGAATCTTTCACAACAAAATCGTAATGCAGTTAGACTACGTTATATTGCGAATCTATCTACTGCATATAAAATAGAAATTTCACGGGAGAAGTGTTGTCAGGTCTACTGTTTTTGCAGTAGATCTCCTAGTTCAGCTCTCAAACTCCTATTACACTGTTTGAGAGTTACAGTCTACTGTACAGTTTAATTTATTGTAATGAGAGATTGTAAGTAGTGGAAATTACTACTCCTCTGGAATGTATCTATGAAGTATTTAGGAAGTACATTCTTTATTGTTTTCTCTATCAATCTACTCTTATTCTGACACAAAATCTACTGCTGATCCTGAAAATGACCTGGCAACAATGGCTTTGTTAGTAAGCCAAATGAAAAAGTCATATAACTATTTATCAAAAGTTGGTAGGGAGTTGGCTGTGTCGATTGGTATGTAAAATGTTTTCAAAATGCTGTTCTGATAAATGAACAAAAACTACAAATCTTGCTTCAAAGAAATCTGATGATGAAAACCTCTACATGAAAAATACTCCAGAAGATATTTAGAAATTTGTATGTAATGTTCATCGCCAATGTTTCGAGTTGCTGAGGCTATTCGGCAACATGTGCCAGGATATATTGGTATCCAATTCAATCTACACAACTGCCAAAATTGTGTGATATGATATATCACATCCACCTTCTTGAAGAAAACTGATTCTCAGGCTTTTTCCACATTCAATTCGATTTGGTTTTTGTCACCCGAAACCTAAATATATTCCAAACCTCCATTAAAATGCTCAATAGCACTGGACTCTCCTTGTTTCTCGTTTTTTCTTGTTCCGTATATTATTTGATTGATTGGTGCTGAGATTTTTGCGCCACTGTGGCGACAGCTTGTTCGTAACTTCCGAAAGAACAACGTCAGTTGTTCAGTTGCTCCAATAATTATTGGTAATGTATTCAAAACTGAAAAGAAAACTTTGCGGTGGTGGTTTAAGGTTCAGAATTGGTTGTTATGACTATATCAAGCAAACTAGCGAGTTCCCCATTTGTTGGCACATCTATAATGTGTGTGAGGCTTGTTCCAGCCTCGACTGTGACCTTGCTCAACTTTGCTATCAGAAAATATTCGAGACAGTTCCTATTGTGGACATTGAAATCGCCAGATATAGATAATTTAGCACTGGGAAAGAGACAAGTTCTCTTTTGTGAGATTCACTCCACTGCTTCACTTGACCTCGTTCAGAAAGGTTCTTGCCATCTTCCACCAAAATACGGATCAAAGTGAAGCAGGGATAGGATCAGATAGGATTTGATGACTGAAAGCTAATGAAGACTATATCAAGCAAACTAGCGAGTTCCCCATTTGTTGGCACATCTTCAATGTGTGTGAGGCTTGTTCCAGCCTCGACTGTGACCTTGCTCACCATTGCTATCAGAAAATTCGAGCCAGTTCCTATTGTGGACATTGAAATCGCCAGATATAGACATTGAAATCGCCAGATATAGATAATTTAGCACTGGGAAAGAGACAAGTTATCTTTTGTGAGATTCACTCCACTGCTTCACTTGACGTCGTTCAGAAAGGTTCTTGCCATCTTCCACCAAAATACGGATCAAAGTGAAGCAGGGATAGGATCAGATAGGATTTGATGACTGAAAGCTAATGAATGGACGATATACTCCATAGACCTCATCATTGCAAAATATATCCAGAAAAAAACTTGCAATTATTCTACAACATCAGTTTCAAATTACCAAAATACAGATCAACGTGAGGTTGAATGCTTTAGAGCCGTACTATCCCAAGCTCTGTCATACATTTTTGGTACATCTCTATAGAAACAAACCACACGAATGAGATAATCTAAAAGATGATCAATTAATATTTAGCAGTCTATAAATTTTGGAGATGTTCTTTTCTATGTTTTGGAATTGACTAATTAACGAAATATCCTGAGAATCAGATCAAATCGCTGAAAAAGTCAGAATCAGAAATCACCCATGAAAGAAACCTAGGCATCACCTGATATCGACTCCGGCATTGTCAAAACAGAGCTGGCCTGCTTCAACCTCCTCCTCTGTTCCTCCATGAATCCAATCTCTTCCGCTGATGCAGCTATAGCTCTCTCCAACTCACATTTCCATCGGTGTATCTCGAGTTCCCTCTGATTCAGTCTCTTAGTGTTATCCTCCTGGTTTTTATCTGTATCCGCTTGTGTCTGCTCCAGACATTGTCTCCCATTCCAGTCGATGAGGTTCGCGCGGTGTTGCTCTGTTGAAGACATATCCAAGATATTTTTGTTGTGGGCTCTCCAATCCCCTTCGCTATATCTGGCTATGGAGTATTTGTCGACCACTGGTCTAGTACCTTGACAGAAAATAATAATAATGATATAAACGAGTCCTGACTCGTCGCGATAATGTAGTTGAAAATAAACAGTACAATAGGTCTGTTCATTTTGTGTATTGCTCATTTTTATATACTTTCATAAACTTCAGAGGAGTCATATTCAAATTAGGTTATTTGGAGTGTGTGCCACATCTAGCTTCAATTAGAAGGTTGAGATGAAGAAGAGCAGTTATCAAAAACAAATTCATATGAAAGTTTCAGGTACCAATGCATTGGGCATTTCCGAAATATTTTCCAATATAAAGGGTACCCAGTAAAAGTGTGATGTATCAAAGTTATTTTTTAATAGAATAACATATATTTCTTTCCATATTGGAATTTCATCAAAATATATTTTACCCAAATGAAAGGTGGATAGAAAATTGAGATATTCACCGTCCCCAGATTTAATAAAAACTCATTTGAGAAGTTTTTTCGTTATAAAATGTTACAAACATGTAGTTTTCTTCTATTGATTGATAGTTTGATCACATAATTTTCAATTCAAGATGTCCAAATGGTTCACAAATGTTTTTGCTATAGCTATAATTCTGTGTCTCATTTTGATAAACGTGATACTTGGTATCATGAAAAACAAGACATATATAAAAAGCCATGTGAGATTTTTTCAAGCAGTTGAAAAACTGTACTTGAATCAGGACATTTTGCACTATCAGATTTTAATTTCAATCTCTATACGGCTACCCGCCAAAAAATTCTAACTGACAACTATAAATAAACCTTTATTTGCCTTCCCTCGCTAAATAATGTAGAAATATAACTGAACAAAAAAAATTCAAGTCTGCTTTCACAATCTGTGTTTGATTTCTCATAAACGCAAGCAATAGAAGAATAAGAATAATGAGAGACTTCTTTCATTTCCCATCTAGATCTCCATTCAATTGTGTCAAAAAACTTCATTTTTCTATATAATAAGAGAATGATGTTTGAAGTTCGCTTTCACTATCTAATAAAGTTCGTTAAGGACTTTTTCCCTTCCTCCTTCCGGATAATATATTTAAGAAATTTGGCGCTTCACATTGGAATGTCGAAGATTGTGACAAAGCACTCGTTATTACTAGGTTAGGTTAGGCAAACAATCATAAATTAGAATAAACTGAAGTATAAATTTATCTTTATTTCAATATTATTATTCAACTGACTGAGTTGAAGGAAATTTCTCAAGTAGTTCAGATAAAGGGTAGAGCGAATCGGTGAATGGAATACATTCTGTCAGATTGGAGACACTGACCTTCAAGAGATGATATATGTACCCACTATGTACACAAACAGAATTAATTATTACAAATTCTAATCCTGATGAACAACAAACCCGTTTTATCGATGATATCATATATGTTATCGTATCATAAGATTATTCGACCGTAATGAACATGGTTAGATTAGTATGATTCAATTCATTTTCCATGTAATGGATCAATTTATAAGGTCGCTCGTATTTGATAAGGAAACATGAAAAAAAAGTTATACAGGGTGTTCCTTGATGATATGCGAATATTCAAGGGTGTAAATCTATATGAAAAAAGTGATGATGGGTTGCTGAATAAACTATAGTACAAATTCGTTCTGTTACAAAAATATGAGGTGGAAAAGTTGGAAAAAATGGAAACTATTTGATATTTCAGAAACAATTTAGAATATTTCAGTAATATTTGTTAAGCAGCGACAGTTGATAAAAGTTTATATGATTAAATAAAGAAATTATTTTTAACTCCAATAGTGGCGTGAGTACAGGAATTGTCTTCAATATTTTTGAAGAAGAAAATGATACGCCTATCCATTTTTCTCAAATTAAATTAATTTTTGAACTCCTCGTTTACTTTGGAATGTAAAAATTCTGATTTTTCAAGAAATGGTTTTCGTAATTTCCACAACATTCATTCATGGGCGTGAAAAAACCCTATGACATAATGGAAACCCATTTCCAACAACAATTTCCGGTTATTAACATATGGGCAAGAATTATTGCTAACCACTTTATGAACCATTTTTATGAGTAGAAGACTTGATGAACAGTTTTACCCAAACTCCCTTCAACTGCTCGAAATGTAATGTGGTATATACATGATAGTGTACCAGCACATGCAGTGTAGTAATTCGCAGTTTTTTGTTGACCCAAATCGTTGAATTAGCCGTGAAGGGCCTCAAGAATGGCCACCAAGATCTTCAGACCTCAATAGCTCCGATTTATTTTTGTGGGGATATCCTGAGATGCTAGTGTACACGAGTCCTTTCAACACTAAAGAAGAATCAAGAGAAAATACATTTGCAGCTTGTGATGTAATGAAAAATACTACTCGGTTTTTTCAACGAGTGCGGCATTTAATAAGAAGAAGGGCATAAGCACTTATTTTAGGTGTAGGGAGCATTTCCAACAATTAGTCTAACATTCATTCCACGTTAGTTATGTTTATGTTGTTAGTTGGTCTAAAGTGTACAGTTTTTTCAATGGATCAATATTTTTTTCGATTTTTTATTGTTTCTTCCACTCAAAAATGGCTCGTTACAGAAAAACTTAAGAAAGCTGTTGTTTGAAGGGTTTCAAAAATTATTTTTATTGGGAACGTACTGATAAAAAAATCTAAGTTATTGACCGTCACTGTTAAATTGGAGAACTCATTTGCATCGAAAAATGTACAGCTTTTTTAGTCAACTAAATCAATAACTGAAGTAAGATAGAATTCGATAAAATAACATTTTTCGGACAATAAAAGGGATTTTATTCTTTTATTCAAAAACAACGTACCACAGGAAAAAACTAACTTTTTCATTACAAATTGAACGAAGAATTCAAAAATAAATTTCCATATAATTTGTATTTTCAATTGTTGAAGTTAAAAACAATATTTTCATTAAAAAGTATGAACTTCAATGAACTGTAACTGCTCACCAAATATCACTGATATATCTGAAATGGTTTCGAAAATATCAAATAATCTAAAAATTTTTCTTCAAAATTCCCGTGACGGAACTTTTTTCGACCCTAGTTTATAGCAATCTATCATCATTTTTTCATGTGAGTTTACATTTTTGAATTTCACCACGTCATCGAACACCCTGTATACTCGTAATCAGTCCTCTACATTAATTTGTAATATTTCATATCAATTTTTTTCGTGACACCTGAGGGATACTTCCTGATTTCATATTCGACTTTTTTCATTCATTTCTAACGAGCACCTTGGATTGCATTTCAAGGCTCATACCTGTGAGTCCAGACAACGGGCCCCAATCGACTCTTCCCGTAGCCCACGGCCCAATTGGTCCCATTTCGGTATCGATGGGATGCGGAAGAGAATCCTGTGGCTGCGGCAAATAGCAAGGAACATTTCCTTCAGGAACTGGTCGCAAGTCATTCGGTACCGGAGGTCTTGATGAAGGTTCTATTGAATGAGGAGGCGTTCGGCCAGCGGTGGCATGCATGTTTTCGATTGGTTCTGGAGCTGGACGTGCTTCTGGTTGATATTTGAGAATACCTCTTCTCGGAGCAGCGGTTTCCTGTTCTGCTGAAACTAAAAATTTGCATTAATAACTCTTAAATAACATAATAATAGAATTCACGACTATTAGCTTTTAGCTTGAAGACTCTTCAGGGGCCGTTGACTATTATTGTGAAAAAATTTCAATAGGCAACTTTCAGTATATATTTCCAATCACTAAGAACAGAGGGTCCGACATTTTGTCTTGCTCAATAAGCCTTTTTGTAAATGGAACCTTATTTTGATTTTCAAAAAAAAAATATTTTCAAATTATGTATTCAAAGGGACACCTTTCTATTATATTTCATGAAAAACCGCGGAAACTTTTGAAAAATATAATAATAATGAACGCTTTTTTACACGCTTTATACTAGCTCTTCACACCTGTATGTATGTTTGTTTGTTTGTCAGTTTGCTTGTAACTCTTAAGCTCGGGATCTGTATTTGACAGAATTATCGACATTATTGCTTGATCTATTCGCGGGCAGATGGCGCTATACGTAGCCGAAAATATCAATGGTCAATTTTCTAAACAATATACGGCTGATTAATCCCAAAGTTTAGATAAAATAAATATAGTTTAAAAAGACTTAAAAAAACGCTTTTATAGCATACGAAACTGAAAAATTAAAAATAAATATGGTTTAAAAAACTAAGAAACACGCTTTTTTTCACAGTAATACTAGTATTTTTCGTTCGTTTTTGTTTTAGGCTTGCTAAAAAAAATATTTTTAACTTTTTAGTCCGATGTTTTTTAAAAGCGTGTTTTTCAGTTTTTTAAACTATATTTATTCGTTGTGAAATTGAATGATTACATACACTTCATTACAATTCTACAAAAAGATACTTCAATTGCAGAATTCAACTCCATACTCCATATAAAAAAGTCATTATTCCACTCTACCCAAACAAGTGCACTATAAAAGCTTTCTTAGTTAATTCTAGTAACAAAATTAGTTTTCATAAATATGATTGGAATAAAATCCCGTTACGAAGAATTTGTTTTCTTAAGATCATCTACCGATTTGATTCCGTAACCAAATAATTATACTCTGTCCATCTAAGGAACAGAGTATCATGCATAGTGCACGTGACCTCCCAAACAAGGCTGCTTGTACAGAGTCGCACTAAGTAATCACCGATTTTCATTTAATAATATGCTGTTGGATATTGAAATTTTTTTAGGTGGAGTGTGTTGCCACAAATTAGCAGTTTCTTCAGCCGTAAAATTACTTGACATTTTAAAAATTTTAAAATTAAAAATTCCGTGTATGTACACACCACAGTTGTCAAAATGGAGCTCATCATTTTGACTCAATAGCGATATACCTGTATGAATTCCACCAGCCGATTGCGGTTAAATCTGATTGGCCAGCTTTAGAAGGCTTGTTTATTTTACCCAATAGATGCAAATGTGCGTGGTGATCATGCTATGATCACGCATCTATATTTGTTTGGGTTACTTTCTTCGTTGGATGGATTGAGTTTAGATATTCTGAAATTTAACGGTTGCACGTCTGGAGATATACTGCCATTATGATGGACAATTATTCCATATGCTGTTCTGTTCGTCCTGGAAATGTATGAAATAAATTTCTGCTTACATTTAATGAATATATTTTGATGTAATCAAGAATCTCAATTTTCAAAAAGGGGGTTTAACAATTCTCCTCTTCTCCCTTTACAAAGTCGCCATCTATGGGATCGATGTCAAAGCTCAACTTTGCAACTGACCACCTTGTGCAATTCGTTTATCTTTTATATTCAAGGATTGTCTCACTCAGTCTTGACGGTAGTTGAATCCATTTGTGGTTCAGCCTAGCCCCAATGATGAGACTGATGGCGAGTCGAAAGAGCGATTTCTGATGGATCACGAATGGGTTGTTTTAGGCTCTGGTTCCGACATGTTTGAGTAAATTCCGTTAAATTATTATATATTGTATAGGTAATTGGAAAAATCTTTTGTGTCCATAAGACAATTTCATTCCTTGTGTGATACATTCATTGTTTTTTTTCTATTCATTTTTATGGTCGACTTGGGGTACGCTTAGTAGATGCAGAGATCAATGATTGAATGAAAACATGTGAAAGTGGCACATGTTTCAATTGTTTCAGGAACAGTATTCCGGTTAATGTTGTTCAATAAAGGTGCAAATTTCTTGTTGTTTCATCGGTTGAATACGCATTCAGAAATATACGGAATTGCATTATCACGTTTCCCGATCAGAAACTGAAGTTTTATAAATTACTCGCAGAAATAACTATATCTTCGACATTGTACCACTAATAACTCCTGTGGTCCCTTCGTTAAATGAAATTAACCGAAATATTTCAAAGGATACTTGGACTTCAATTGCACTCCTATGCTGACATTTTGAAAAACAGTTCAAGTCACTTACCTATTCGAGTACAACAACAGTTTTCAATCGGCTTCTTGCTTGGTTCTCCAGTTAAACAACAACCCTTTCCATCTCCTATTGGTTGCCTGGTGTCGCAAGGTGGAATACCACCCTTATACTTCTCTGCATTATTACTAACCTTCTCGTCAAACTTCACTTCCTTGATAGGAGAAACACCAAGATTTGGATTCAAGTCGGTAGAACCCACCCCGAGGTTCTGCTCTCCAAACTTGGGTGCGTTTGAAAACTCTATTCTGGGCTCCGGAAGCGAATTTGTCGTTAAATAGTCCTTTTTTTCAACGTTCTCGAAATGGGCCAAGTGAGGACAAGGGCCGCAGTGCCTAGTTGGGTATTCCGACATTTACTGATGGGATTTCGTTTGATCAATAACAAAAATAGCCTGGAGAAGTTTGATCGAATTGACATTCCCAGACACGAAGATATGGAATCTTTGACAACTTGTGAATGATCCGTTTCTGGGATACTGAAATATTGTATACGGGGTGTACGACATCAACTATACGGTACATAATAAATCCAGATTCTGAATTGGAAAATAAATTGCCGTTTCTTCAATCAGTAACGAATATGAAGATAGATCAGAAATACTTTTCAACCTCATAATATTGTGGTCCGAAACGATAAGAAAAACATCACTGAACAACAAATAATTTGAATAATCATGTCCTTTCATCTGTCAACCAGTCAGTGTCCTTCATTACTGTAATTTTGATCCAATTGACTTTGACGAATTGAAGAAAATTGTTGATTCTATTGAATCAAATTCTATCGGATCAGATAAAATCTCCATCAGAACGATACACCTCTCGTTAACCATATCCACTCCAATACTGTTTTGTATTGTAAATAAATGCTTACAAATATGTACTTCCCAGAAAGTTGAAAAAATATTTAATTTTGCTAATTTTTTAAACCAGCGGTTTCAAAAAGTGTCAAGAAAGTCGTATATACTAGTAGTCAAATATACTCATTCTAGTAATATTCTTCCGGAACATCAATCCGTCTATAGACATGACTATAGCACAATGAATGAATTCATTTTTGAAGATTACAGACGGCATTTTTCAGCAATGGATAAAGAAGAAGCAACCCCATTTTTATCTCTCGACTACACCAAAGTATTTGACACCATAAATCACTCCTGGATGTGTGGTGCCAAACTTTACTATTATATTTTTACTGAGAGTACATGTGAATTCATGGAAACATGTAATAGAACTCAACTGGTAGAAATGAAAGATCGCATTTCCGATGATTTGATCGTTTTCTATGGACCTCCTCAAAGTTCAATTTTTGCTTCACTACTATTTATTATTTACCTACAGATGTCAGTCGATTTGTGGAAAATATCAAAATACTTAGTTTGCGGATCAAACAAGTTTGTATAAATTCACTGAGGTGAAAAATCATCTTTATCAAGAACATATACCAAATATTTCATAAACGAGGAAACAAGATATTGAAATTGCATATAGAACAAGTAATACGTCGGGAAAGTTAGTTAAAAATAATAAAGACAAAACATCCAAATGCGAGAAATTAGGAGTATATAAATTAAAGTGTGGAACGTGTCTAAAGGTATATATTGGTCAAACTGGCAGAATATTTAGGAATCGAATTCAGGAACATCATATGGACTATGTAAATAAGAAAACAAATTCAACATATTCAAATCATCTTTTGGAAGAAAATCATGTCTTTAACGAAGAGTTCGAAATTTTACACATAGAAAATAAAGGTTTGAAACTAAATCATTTGGAAGCAATGGATATTAATAAACTTAAAAATTCAAACATTATAATGAGTGACCAACTGGATTTGAAGAAATCACCATTATTTAACTTGTTTTCTTGAAAAACCGAGAAAGAAGTATTATTGATGTAGATGTGAGGTAATATATTTCATGTGATCATAATTGAAGCAGCATCTTAGGTAGAGGTTTAGGTAATTTTTTTTGGGGTAGTCTCAATTATGGTTACCTGTAGTATATAAATATTAGTGTAAGAAGCAACTTGAAGTATTCAAATCACTTGATAAAGCTACTGTGTCAGCGAAATATGTTGTGGTATATATTTTTCAAATAAAGTTTGTGAAGATCAAATAAAGATCGTGAAGTGTAGTTTATGAAATTACTATGGATCTTCATCAAGAACCGGCCAAATCAATCAGAAAATATACCAAATAAACATATCTAAAATTTAGTTCAAATTTCTAAAATCACTACCCAAATCTGAATCCCAATCGGTCCATGATCATCTCTGGGAAGGCAATATAACCCTTCGAATCAAGGAACACACATTAGAGTCCACGAATAAAATCAAATGTCTTGGACTCAATATGAACTCTGATCAGAAATTTGTTGACCATATTGATACACTTATACAGAAATCTTACGGTTTGCTGAAATACTTGTATTCTAAAAAATACTGCTTTGATAAATTATCGCAAACTCTACTCATTCTTGAATTTTGTCTTCATTGAACTACTTGTATCGATTCAATAACATGGTGAAGAATTCAAAGCGTCCAAAACGTATTAATAATCGGAAAAAATTATCAAAGTTTTTTTCAATGGTTCATTAAAGAAGTTATTATCAAATAAAACTAGAAAAATACATTACCTAATTATGCCACCAATTCATTTTTAGAACTTTCATCAAAATTCTGACTGCTGTAATAGGTTTTGGTTTATAACTGTCCAGAATTTCATCGAAATATGTTCACATTATAAGTAAAACATCATCAATTGTTAATTATTTTTTTTTAAGTTTTTTCATTCATAATTTTCTCAATATTGAACAGATTTTGATGTGATAGTGATAAACTACTCGAATCCAGTGGTGTGGTCAGACAGACCGGATCGGGAGAATTTTAGAGAAACACGACATTAAACCAATATTCAGGCCAACAAAAATCATCGAAGAGAGTCTAATGCCAGCTAAGGACCTCAGAGAACCTTTAGCAACACCCGGGGTATAACGGATTACTTGTGGCTGCGGGTTGGTCTACATTGGTACCAAGAGGAATTGTTGACTCGGACAAACAAAGAAGGCACCCACATTAGCTCATTTGGATATACAAAAATACTCGATAAAACTCAAAATTATATAGAAATGCAATAGTGTCGCAACTCACGTACTCGCTATGATTATTTCGAGATGATTTTTTGCTTAATAGAATATTTATCACGAAAAAAAGAGAAAAATACCCTCTGAAATTAACTAACATTGAATAGTCAAGAGAAATGTACAAAGAATCATCAAAAATTTACAATATACTGCTATCCAGCAGGATGAAAAAGAAGATTGTTGCACTCTAAGCGGTTTTGACGAGTGATCAATGCATATACTGAGTGAATACGCTCGTTGGTGATCTTGACGTACCTCAATATTTATAAAAATTCATATGCCGAGGTATAATCTATCCATTCCCAATTGGAACGGCAATAAAAATAAGAGTACAGTCATAAACATTTCTTGCCTGTGGCCCCTAGTCGCCCAGATAGTTAGTAAACGTGCTATCAAATGTAGTTGAGGAATAAAGGCTCGGCTA